GTGGGGTTGGGTGCTTTTGGGGGGTTGGTTTAGGGGGTGTTGAGGGGAGGGGAGGGGGTGAGATGTATATGATTTGAGGGATTTGAGGGGGATGTTATGTTGTATTTTGTGGTGTTGTCATATCCGTTGGTTTTTTATTGCCCTTACTTTCGATGATGATAATTACAGTAGCGTTGGGTTTTACGAGGGCTTGGGGTGGATGGGTGGGTAGATAGATAGATAGGAGAGGTGAGAAGGTGCTTTCATGACGATTATGGATATGGATATGATTATCATGGGATATGAGAATATAATTATTATGAACGCCAATTTTTGGCGGCTTCTATAGGGTTCTCTTGGAACTACACGTATAGGTGAAGCAATCTCTTATTATCGCTTGCATACTTACTTCAAAAGCCTTTATGAATGTTTCGTAAAGCCTGGAACGATGGAATGTTGAACATTTATTCTTAGTCGATTTTTACAGCGCTTTAGGTGTTTCTCTGGGTTATAGGAATTCTCTGAAGTGAGTGGTGGTTGAGTTTCATGGTATTACTATTACGACATCCTGAATATATCTTTGGACTAATGATGACTCAATAGTGAAATGAGGAGTGGAGATTAGAGAAGGTAGAGAAGTTAGTTTACGGTTTTGGTAGAGAGGGATTTGGGTTACGGAAGTTGGTATATTTTGTTTTCGTATAGGATAGATAGGATGATTATGAGGACTCTAGAATTAAGAATAGGGGTTTGTAGCTTCTTCCTCCTGCTTTTTGGGGGTTTTGTGGGGTTTTGTGGATTGCGTGTTGGTGTTTTTTCGTGTTCGCTCTAGCTAGCTGGTATACTATGGTAAGATACTATTAAGAGAAGAGGATGTAAAAGTCGAAGTGTTCAGATAGCAGGGCTGTAGGTGGTTTTTAGGGTAATACATACGCTAGCTTAGTTTCTTAGGGAAGGTGGTGGAAGGGTACTCAGAATTAATAATGAATGTTTTCCTAGCTTTAATTTTGTCTCTTTCTCTTACGAGACGACAGTAAGAATGTAATAGCGAGAGCACACGTAAATAATTAAGCTCTGATTTCAAGTAAGATAGGGGCAGGGGAAGGGGGGTTATAAGTATAGTTGTAGTAATATCTCTAACAATCCACGATTTGTAATCTGTGATTACCTCGCTATTATACTAATTATATAGATAGGATCCCGGACTACCCTTCCTTCTATCCGCGAGATAACAGCTATTCTTCAACAGATCTAAAGGCGTAAGTGTAAGACATAGAAATTCTAATACATCTGTTAAGAGAAGTGCCAGTGTTAATTAGCTATGACCACTGTAGGTGTTTGACATGAAAAATGGTAAGATTACAGTATAGTAGATGTAGAAACGTTATGAAACTTCCTCTAACTACGTAGCTAATTTCTTGCAAATCGTATAGTATCAAGCTATAACGACAAGTTCGCCATAGGTCATAAGTGGAGAGTAATTCAGGTGATAGTAACAAGGCGAAAGTAGGTTGCACTTTTGTAATAATCTGGATATTATAAATGGGGATGCTGCTGAAGGAGGCACGGGGGAGGACATCTCGCTGAGTGATTTTGACGCATAGGTTTTTTGGTACCTCAGTAGGTGAAAAAGATGAAGGATTCCGGTCGACGAAAGTGAAATGGTAATGGAGGAATGATGCTCAGTTCCAGATTTCAAGAAAACAGGATAGGGCTGGGACAAGAGTAAGTTATTACAATGAGAAATTCCAATATTCGATAAGGCTACTCGTCGTTCAAATTCTCCAAATTCATGTATTGTATTACGCATTTCCTCGCCCTCCAACTTTTCAGTATAAACAGCCGCCAACGTGTATTCAACCCCTTATGAAGTTTAAGCTATCCAACGAGCATCGCAACGCCAAAAACGTAAGCGAGAGGTGACCCCTTCTTCACACCCCTTCCAGAAGTACTTGGATTGTACAGTACACAGGTTCAAGTTCGATTTCGAATTCAACATCCGTATCACGCGATTTGCAGGCGAGGAACTCCTTCGCTTGAACCCATCTTGCGCTGTCACGTTAGTATCTACTTTGATTTAGCGAAAGGAGTCATCGTTAAGGGAGCCTAGAAGGTACAGTACAGTACGACAACCACGACAACATTATCCCTTCGAAGTATCCCCTCACCTTTCCATATACATATACATATTTCCCCATCGCAAGCGCACCGCCAAAGAGCCGAGAAACTCATCGGAGGTTCGCTCATTCTCGCTAGTAAGCGTGTCTCATTATCCACCTCCTTAGTATCGCAACCCTTCCCTTAATTCCAGATACAGGATAGGATTTGCCTCAATACCTGCCTCATTGAAGCAGCTGTTCTCATCTAGCTGAACGGGTACCGATATCATCCCGAGGTGATGGATGAGGAATTCAAAAAAGACTTCTGACTTCTCTTTCCGAGGGCCCTTTATTTATATTTATACCCTCTACTTTACGCGTTTAATTACGTTCCTCCAGATACGACAATAATATTTATATAGAATATAGAACTCACTTATCTCTCCTATGATATTTTCCATAGATAATCTAATATCTAATTATAAAATATACTTACGAAGTAAAACATGAAGGTAAATTATCTCATCTCTAAGCCCTGTCTGTATCTTTATAAACCAGATCTACGGTTTATAGCTTAACTTCTCTCACTTCTCTCCTCTCCTCTCTGTATGTCCCCACTGGTACCCCCATGTCGAAAAGCAACAGACCATCCCATCAACACACAGTCCTTCACCCATCCCCCTCTATCCTACACCCACACTAATATCCTCCCCTCTACACATCTCCCTACATCTTGCCTCCCTCGAACCCCACAAAACAACTGCCTAACAACCCCTCATCACCCTCACCAATTCCGTACCCCCCT